TGTCAGCCTCGGGTTCTTGACCAAAACTTTTCCCCCTGAAGGTATTAACTCAAAATACAGAAGTATATTTTACTGCAATATATGAAACGTTGACTGAACTGAGGAAAAAAAAAAGTTTGACAATTGCAAAAGTTTTGGGGAGCTGTCAAAAACCATTTGTCACTGTGGCGCTTGCGTTGTATTGTTGTTTAAAGTGTTGTTAAAGTTTTCCTCTACATTAGGGACATTGAGAAGTTTTTTTTTTATTATTATTTTGGCCTTTATATTCTGTTTAAAACGGTGAGCATCTTATAAAATCATTTATTCTTTGTATTAGCTCTAGCGCTAGTCAAAATAGCATGTTCTTGGGTTGTTACCGTATTTTCCAGAGTATGAGCCGCTCTGGAGTATAAGTCGCACCAGTGCCCTCTAGGGGCTGCCAGTGTGTGAAAATACCAAACATCTAAATTTCGAAGTCACTCCTGAGTCGCAAACCCAGCCAAAGGATGAAAAAAAAGTGTGACATAGTTCGGAAAATACGGTACATTTAAGGTACAGTGGTCCCTCGTTTATCGCGGTAGATAGGTTCCAAGGCGTGCCGCGAGAACTGAATTTCCGCAAAGTACTGCGCAGCCAATGACTGATTTTGCGTCTCTTCCACCGTTTCCGAAGGTGTATCCGCGGTAGTAGCAGGAACCGGCTCTTGTTTGCGAGTCTGTAAAAACGTGATCGGCAGTTGCTTCCGCTGCTTCTTTTTCCAGTCGAAGAGTAGCTTGTAGGCAGTCACGACGTCGTCGATTTTGTTGCAAAATTGGACCGATCGAACCATATCGTCGTCCCATTCGCGTGACATCTGTTGCAGATCCAAATCCGGGATACGGTACGTTTTATATATACAGTTTCAAAAACCCGCAAAGTCGTGAATCAGCGAAAGTTGAACCGCGGAATAGTGAGGGACTACTGTATCTCGTACGGTTTTAAATATGTTTAATCAATCCATGCTGCGGTTGGTGACTGGTAAAGCAGAGACAGGAAGCGAGGCCTTACATTCCAACGTCATCCATTATCACCAGGTCAGTTGAACAGAATTCCATGGAAAGCTCTGAAGAACATTAGTGACACAAAACATGCACAAAACACGTGACTGGACACAGCGATAGTTCCGTTGATTCCTACCACTGCTGCGCTGCACTACATCAGCCTTATCTCTCCGCTGCAGACGCTCGTCCCGCTTTGTCTTTGTTCAGTGACTTTTCTGTACATTTAAAGCAGGATTCGACGCGCGGAGCACATCCTGTTTAATCAACTCCACCCATTTATTAAACAGCTCCCCCTGTTTGTGTCTTCCCATCACATGCTCACTCAAACGCACCATCCTTTCAGCTACGGGCCGATGCCGCGTTCGAGCGCGGCTTAATTTAGCAGGTCTAATTTGTTCTCCGCAGACCTGTCGAACAGATAAGAGGGAGCAAGGAAGGAGACAAGAGAGAGGGAAGGAGGAAGAGAGACGACAGAGCGCGGGAAAGAGGTAGAGGAAAAGAGAGAGCAGGTGTCTGAGATGAATATCGAAATGTCAGCTAATAAGTAAAACAACCTGGACTCAGGGAGACAGAGACGGAGGCATTTTTGAAGCAGCGAGAAGGACGAGATGAGAAGAAAGCCCGGAGGAGAAGTGAAGCAGAGAAAATACAGAATGTGACAGGAACGGGAAGGAAAAACTAATGAAAAACTGCCTGGCATGTGTCAAACGTCCAAGTGAAATCCATCATTAGCAACATTGCTACAGTTAAAGGTGTGAAACTCCTCTCATGTACAGTTATAAAAACTGTGACTAAAAAAAAAACGTCAAAATGATAAAGCATTCACTCTAATCAGGCCCTGCTGATCTTTTCCTTTTCCAGGAAAATCCGTTTAAAACCAATTCAGAAAACTGCAGGTGTCAGTTACTTATTTTTTTATATCCCCGAAAAAGCCTTTTGTGCGAGTCGAAAATACAGAAGAAAATAATAGGAAAGCACTTCTCGGTGTTTGAAGTTGCATTCTAACAGAGCTCTTCAAGTTTTTTTTTACTGGAAGCGGGTCAATTTTCCTCTTATTGAGTATATCTCTGAGTTTTATAAAACGAAGTGGCTCTTCTACGACAGTCTGATCAGTGCAGAAAACAAGAAAATACTGCGGTTGGTTGTCAGTGGATTTGTTAGGCGTTAGGTTAGGAGTTCGCATTTCAAACTCGGAAAATGGGGTTACCTGAAACGTCTTGTAATAGATAAAAGAAAAATGACTGATGAAAATATTTATGTCAACTTATATTACCATTTGACTTTTTAATATCATCATTAAAACACCATCTTAAAAAATGTATTCTTTTACTTTCGTGAAACAAAGTCAAGTTTAAATAAATTTACAGCATATGAAAATATCTGATTGCAATTTGTTGATTGCGATCACGTGACAGCTACTAAAATGTTTCTGGGGTCACCAGAAATTTGTGATGTCAAAATAGGGTCAGAAGCCAAAAAAGGTTGGAAACCGCTAGTGTAGGCATTAATATATCCTTAAAATTGACAATACTGGGATAAGATGGTAAATAAATAAGAAATAAGAATTCAAAAAAAATTTTTTATAAATAAATAAAAAAAAAGATTATTCTACAGTAGTCCCTCGATTTTTGGCGGTTCATCTTTCGTGGATTCACGACTTGGCGGCTTTTTGAAAACTGTATATATAAAGTATACTGTATCCTGGATTTTCTGGAAAATTCTAGAAAAATTGCAATACAATATATAAATACCCATAAATTTCTCATTAAATCCATGCAATGCATCCCAAATGTACTACTTCTTCCAAGGTGTAACCTTTGGATATATAGCGACATAATATAACTCTATATATGTTAATAATAGAGTAAAGGGCGGGTTGTAAACAGTACAGGGAGGGTTTAAAAAAAACTCCATATACACGTTAAACAATTAAATAAATATGGTGTCACTGCTTTGCGGAAATTCAGTTCTCGCGGCTTCACAGAAACGAGGTCTGTATCATAACTGTAGCACACATTGGAGTCAAACACCAAACGTTTTACACACGACGTCCTACCACTTGCTGCACTTGTCACGCATTCCAGTTAATTACTATTTAAACTTTACAGAAAGTCAAATTGCTAAATTTAGGTGAACTAGCTAAAGTTAATTCTGCTCATTCAACCTATCAGTAAAGTCCAGAAGAAAAAAAAAAAAAACAAACAGAACAGCATTTCATCTTTCCTCTCCTCTGAACTGCAAATGGCCGAAGGTTTTAGAATACAGGAAATGCCCAAACATTCACAGCCTACTGACTTACTGTACTGGAGTGTGTGATCGCAAGGATTTTTTTTTTTAAGATAACGCAGCGCACTTCTTATGGTGCTTTTTCAAAAATGCATGCGAATCATAACGCATTTGAATCGACTCATGATGCATCGTGACATAACTTATTAGTTAGGATAAAGAATGGAAGAATTACAAGATAGGTGAAAATAAAAATACTTTTTTTCCTTGAATGTTAAGAATGATTTTTCTCTCTATTGTAATTGTTAAGATTTGTGATTTATTGAAAGAAGGAAAGAAGTGGGAGCTGAGGTTTTCTGCAGTGGGAGGAGCCAAGTCTGGTCAGCTATTTCTTATTTCCTACTGATATTTCACATTCAGTGTAAATACTGTGGCACATAAAAAGAAATCCAAACACAGGAATACGTAAACCCTTCGTTTCGTCTCTTCCTTTGTGCCTCCCCCCTCCACCCGTCCATCCCAACAGGAAAGCATTTGGCCTTCAATTGAAAATGGGCTTAGTCAGAGAGAGAGATGAGACTGCACAACTGAAGCCCATGTGATTTCTCTATTTATAACCTGTGCGTATTCTGGCTGTAAATGGGCTCCTTAGTCATGCAGGGTAAAACTCAACGGGGAAACGCCGCAGCCTTACTTACCATCTACCCACGTGGTGCACTCCTCGGTGGCTCTGTTGTCCAAAACGAGGGTCGGGAAGGGCAGTTCCCTGGTGTCGTCGCCACCGGACTCCGCCGTAAATAATGTTCCGTTTCCTCCGCTCCACTGAGTAATAACGTCTGAAATACAAGATTTAAAGACAAAACTTTGAGTTTATATATTATAGTTTACCTTTGACAAGAGAAACACATTATACTGTCGGGACCTGTACATTTGAACTATCATGTGAACTAAGATAAATGACATGTAAAAGTCATGCATAAAAGCTAATATGCTAAAATGTTTTTAAAATTTTCTACACCACCTATTGGGGAAACATGGGTATTGCAAGGAAAAGGCAGAAGTATAATGATAACATACATAAATTATATAATTTGGAAAAGTTCAGCGGGCCGGATTAAAAAGATGAACGGGCCGCATGCGGCCCCCGGGCCTTAGTTTGCCCATGCCTGTACTGGTGATGATAGTAACAAGAAGGATGCAGATTAATCAGATTAATAAAAGATCACTAAAAGTCACAATAAATCCTTATTGATTTATTGTGACTTTTATTGATCAACGTCAATACATTTCAGCATAAATGACAAATCGAGCTTCTTCTGAACTAGTCATTATCAACCGGTAGCCCACGGATTCAATCCGGTCAACTGCACTGTCCAATCCAGCCTGCGACCGGACCCCGAAATTGGGAGGATCAAAGAGAAAATATTGCGCTGTCCCCACTATTAAATCAACTGGGACTAAAATAACTCAGTATAATAATAGTTGTTTTTTTTTCTTCTTTTAAATATATATTTTTATTTATGTCATTAACATTTGGGACCTATATGATTGAAAGTAATGATTAAAAAACAATTACTAGATTCACATCTCAGAGAAAACATTCTCGCAATCTAATTAGCATGCGTTTCGAACTTATTTCGTGCACATGGAACACGGACAGAAATACAGGCAAAAACACGTTTGATAAACTCTTCATCCAAATGTTTCATTTTTTCCATTTTAAAAAGTGCAAGAAATATAAGAAGTGATTTTTACATTCTTAATTAACTAACAATATCCAGAGACCGCTTGGGTTCCATGGACCCTATTTTGAAGAACCTCTGATCTACCCTGGGATCTGTAGTAGGTGCGGGGTTCGTGTGATGCCACAAAGAGGAGCGGAGAGTAAATATTTGTCACGGTGACAGATGAGTGTGAGGTCAGTCCTCAGAGGTCACCTCAGGTTACCATAACTGTATATGTTTGGGTTCTCACATCCCCATTAAGTGGCCCAGATGTGCCCAGCGTGGAGTATTTGGCCTTAAAAGGAAAGGAGAAGAAGAATCTGTAAACATGACTTGAATCAAGAGAGAGAGAGAGAGAGAGAAAGAGAGAGAGAGAGAGAGATGACCCTATAGACACCCTCTCACTTACAGGAAACCTTCTGATCTCATTCACAGCTGGTCGGGTTGGGCGTTAAGTGTTTGAGTACATTCCTCCTGACCGACAGTCTTCAATGTCAGCTCAATTAAATTCAGACACACACACTCACACACACACCCTCGTGCTATCACAAAAGAGACAATGTGAGGATATTTTCTCCTTCACCCTGGTGTTTTTGGAGTCCAAAATAATTGATCATTTTAAAAAGTCTCAGTTGTTGTTTTTATATTGGGAACCACACAATATTTTCTCTTCTGATTTTGAATCCAGCCGCAGGCCCCCGTTCGGACGATGGGCTCTTTAGAACGTCTTGAAAGTTTTGATCGGAGATGATATTTGAGAATGCAGTAAAACTTTTGTTTGTGTGTGTGTATTTGTGAAAGAGAGGGAGAAAAATCTGACTGGTCAAAGCACGTTTGAGGGATAATCACTTGTTGGACTGACATATTTGGCACACCTGCACATTTTCAATCTTTCCCACTCCCACACACACACACAGACACACACATTCCTGGCTGACATGCTGTGACCAGCCTCTCTGGAAATTCTTCGCCGATTTGCTGACACACTGACAGTCCGTCAGTTAGACAGGCAGACAGCTGAATGTCTGTGGTAAAGTCAGATTACAGCACATTTGAACATTCGGTGTGCGACGTTTGAAGGCGCAGCGAGGGGGTCAAACTGGGGTTTTTCTTTTTTCTATGACGCTCTTTCCCAAAGGAAACGGATGAAATCCTACAATCATAACTATATATATATATAATTAATATATCTAATATTATAATGAATTATATTTCTCATTTCTGCCCTGCCTCCCCGCAGGTTGATGCCCCGCTGCCTGCAGCCAAAAACAACTGGGAAGCCGTCACCGCACTCATGTCGGTAGGTCATGCATCTATGCAAACGTGCATTTGTGTAACAATGCATATTTCATCCGAGAACACCTCACAAATCAATAATTCACCCTCGAAAAAAGTAAACACTGGCTTAGCTGTTAGCTTAGTGGCAGCCAGGCCAGGGCACACACCATGTTTTTAGCTTTTCAGTTTGTTCGAAATGTCTGTACATACGTGTAAAAAAAAAGTCACAATAAAGTAAAAACGTACAGGCTAGTGATCGAATTACTGCTGGTTCAGTTCACCTGCTGGGCCAAGAACCAAGAACCAAGAAACTCCCTGACTGCTTGGAGGTGTAAAGCACCGCCCACTCCTATGTGTTTGGAGGAACAATAATTAATTATTGTCTTATCCAAGTGGTTCCTAACTTTTTTTTTTTTTTTTTTTAGCTTGTAACATATCACAATTTCTCCCCAAGGTTAAATACAACTGTCTTATCAGTAGAATAATAATGCAATAAAAATGTAATAAACTGTAATATACAACCTTATTACAGTATCACATGTACACGGTGTATACTATGGTTTGTGGTTTTGCTATTATTGGTGTCTTTTTTAATGTGGAATTTGTACTTTATTTCTAGTTTTTAATCTGTTTATATATATATATATATATGTATATATATATATATATATAGTATATTATTTCATTTCATTTCTGTGTTGCTTCACCCACCGTTCATTTTTCCACAAGAGTGCCTTGTAATGTGGGATCAATAAGGTCTTTTCCTTTTATAAACATGTTATTAAAAAAAAATCCAATTCGGATGCATGCCCACATCGAATGGTTAGAGCATTTATTTTTAATGATATTCATATGTCAACATTCCAAACCCACATTGCTTTAATGCGCAGGGTTTTCTGCTACGTGACCCCTGGCCCCCACGGCCCTCATTTGCGTAGCAAATAGAGACACAGAATTAAAAAAAAAAAAGTCCAGGGTAATGTGGGCCGACGTCACCCTCCCACACAGATTATACTGATCTGTCACAGCGCCTGTGTTTATCATGCATGTACAGTAGCTGGCCATGCAGTACGACATGCTTCCTTGGACTAATATGTTAATAAGTACATGTAATGAGTGTCATTTTTACTCCAGTGACATCACGTGCATGATTGTGATAATTACCCTTCACTGCGTTATGGCATTTAATGTGCACGGATGCATAGTGACTTCACTTGAGTGTGTGTGTGTTCCATGTGCGCTCTACGTCACATACATTAGTGTGTGTTTCTGTCACGCACAGTGTTGGTTTTTTTTTTTTTTTCGTCTCTGGTTTTTCCTGCATTATATTTCAAGGAGTTTCTTGTTATTTACAGTTGATGTAAAAAAAAAAAAAAGTGTTTTTCAATCTCATGATGATGTTTCTGAGATCCTAAACATTTACTCTACAAAGTACAAACTATTCAGGATGGTGACAGTAATGGTCTATAATAGCAGGGGTCAGCAAGTTCTTCAAATAAAATGAAATAAAACTAGTGAACAAGAGGGTCAGAAAATGTAGTGTTATTGTCCTTTTTGAATCAGTTACACCTGCAACGATATTCAAATGGGTGCAGTGACGATGCCACCTGGCTTGTATGTCCCAGAACTAATTATTATTACATTGTTTGTTTGAAGTCTGTAGCTCTCTGTATTAATAAGTGCCCTTGAAGTAGCTCTCAGTTTCAAAAAGGTCGGTGACCCCTGGTCTATAGTTTTGGTGCAACTTACATATTAAAATATATAATTTCACGTTCGTTATTTTCACACTGACAGCCGCTAGAGGGCGCTCTAGGCTCGTGTACGAGTATCTGCTACTCCATCACTGAAAATGTACTTGTATGTTATTTTCACTCTGACAACCACTAGAGGGCACTCTACTTGGCCGATGCATTTTTTTGGCTGGTGCGATTTATACGACAAAACAACAGAGCAAACAAAAGTGTATTAGTTTAAAATCAAGCCTGTGGGGCATTTGCGAACCAGAAGTGGTGCCAGAGCTGGGAGTTTGAGATTGAAATACTGTCATGTAGAAATAAGAATAACAATAAACGCTCAAACTATGGGTTAAATTTCACTTGTGTAGATCAGCTCCCAGGTCGGATTCAATCTACGAGTCTCTGCTGTGACTGTGATGATTTCCTGATCAGTTACCTTTGTCCTCGTGCCGAGATGGAGGTCGGTGCTGGTAATGGCAGCCCATGCTGTCAGCATCTGATTGTGATTGTCGTCCATCTAGATAAAAAGCAGCAGAGATTGTCATTATTGAACTGAAATCGGCGCAGAAAAAAAAAGAAGTGACAATAAAATAATGAACATATACCAAACAATTAAAAGCATCTGATTTTAAGATCAGATAACGTCTGTCTTTTTTTTTTTTTTTTTTTTACTAAACTTTAGGTCATTTTGAAGGAATACCTGCCACACCAGAAAAATATTATTTTTAAATCTTATCACAGATCCATAAATATCCAAAGAGACAGTGAATTCATTTTGCTGAATTTTCCACCAAACAGGATTTTAGCGAAATACATAAATACTGACCACAGTACCAATTAGTACATCAAAAAACCCATGCACTGCTGCACATATCGACTCCTGAGATGAATAACTGGAGCCTGAGTTGTAAATAAGCGCGGCTGTAATCACATCACCTTGACCTATGGTCCTCCGCTCATTGCAGGACAGCATTGGAGGGCAGATGCAGGCCCCCGTCACGGCAGTTCCTTTATCGCTGGATGATCTGGACCAGACCATCGCTGCTTTTGACACTGTGGAGCAGCTCCTGAGATCCTTCAACCCAGACACGTGGAGACAGGAGCTGGACAGCATCTACACTCAAACACACTTACATTACATATCCAGGGCCTACCACCTGGCCAGCAGGCACAACAAAGGTAAAGCAGTTCATTTAAATTCGGACAGAATTGAACGTCGTTTACCATTAACAAGCCCCACGCAGGTCTGCAGTCTGGGATATATTTAATCAATTAAGCTATGAGAAAGTAATTTAATGTTTTTTTTTTTTTTTTTTTTTTTGCCCGTGACCATATTCTTGAGATGATGGTTAGGTCCAGGACAAATGAAGGTAATAATTGCTGAAGAGTTACTAATGAAAAGCGAGTGGAGGCTAATGAAAATGTTTTTGGGGCTTTTATTATGAAGGCGTTTCCATTAAATTTAACACTGAAGCCAAGCACTTCCAAACGCAGTGAAGTAGTCTGAACAGGAAGTTTCAGACGTTACACATAGTCACCCTGCGTCTGGGATTTTTTTTGGTTTGATTTTACAGGTCGATTAAGGAGGCAAGAGGGAGAGGAGGTCGCTGTTAGACATGTTGAATTAAACCTATGCAGTGTGGGGGGGGTGCTGTCTGGGGCGGGGGAGTTGGGCGTGAGAGGCGTTCAATGGAATATGGTGCTGCTATAATGCTTTAATGATAAAAAAAAACCTCCAGTCACTAGGGGGCAGCAACTCATAGAGTGGTTTGTACAGACAAGAAAATACATATAATCAGGTTCTCAGTAGTATTTCAATTCAAGGGTAGGGGGCGCGAACAAAACGCTGCCCCCTAGTGGGTGTACAGTACGACAGAAAATAATATCAGATGAGAATTTTAAATTCTGTTTTACCGATGTGCTATGGATGCTATGATGCTTCACAGAAGAGATTTCTTTTTGGAAAAAGAGCTGAGACCACGAATGAATGCCTTGACCTTGAAGAAAATCTCAAACAGCAGGCGGTCCGTCCTCACAGTGTCCGTTGCAAAATCAATGAACACTGCAGTGAAGAGAGAGAGAGAGAGGGTCATGATTTAGTCTTAGGCCACGTTCACACTGCAGGGATTTTTTTTTTGCGCCGTTGTTTCACATTATACGTATTTTTAAACACTCGGCGATGTGAACGTTCCCGGGCCCTGTAGACGTGACGTTACAAACGGAAGTGAATATGGACGTCACGCATGTCAGTGTATCGATTTGGACGTTGCTGTGCGATCAATGTCGGTCAATTTGATCGCTTTGTCGTCCACTTTCCCCCGGGGCTGAAAGAGACAGACCTCCGATGGTGGAATTCCAGTGATCAACAACATTGTTTTTATTCCATCGCAAATTTTAAGTCAAAATGTGCACCCATCTTTGGCTAGGATTGTCCAGTTAACCTAATCCGTGCAAACGCGTGGACACACATTGGACAAACTTGGGATTGAAGACGCATACTGATCGTGTTCTCGCCTTGAGCTACGAGTGATCATTTTACCAACAGGTGGCACTTGTCACCTTTCATTCACCAACTCCGATCAACTTTCATTAAACCGCCAAATTGTTTTCGGTCCATCTCCTTCGGCTACCGTAAAAACGTAATGATCCAACACAGGGGGTCAAAGCGAAGGCCACTCCTCATACTAATGGAGGTCAGGAAAGGTCAATGACAACCACAAACGTGAGTCCAGAAGGTAAACTCGTAAAAGTGGTTCTTTAGAAATATGTTTTTTAAACACAGCCTAATATAAAATGCAAACTGCACCATTGATGACTGGGACTGAGCTAATTGCTAATTTAGCGTTCCATCACAGTCATCTTGATTTACAAACACAGAGGGTCAACATTGTGGGTTTATCCATGCGGTCCATTCAATCCAATCCAGTCTTTGTGCACATTATTATGTTTATTTAAACGTCCTATTTTTTTTTTATATATATATATATAGTCCACGTAAATGATTTGCAACAAACGAATAAATAAACCTCCACGAACATATGACGTAACTTCGGCGCCTGAGTTGTCGCTTCATTACATGAACCGTTGCCCCTGCTGGGGTTCAAATAATGAGCCCATGGCAGATTTAAGGTGAGACGGCAACAGCAGTTCAAGGCAATTCTTTACTGAGAAGTCAGTGTCAGTGACCCGCAGTCACACAGGCAATAGATTTTCTCTTTTCCTCGGGATCCACAGCCAGAGTAGACGTTTCGGTGCTTATTAAACTACACGTCATTCAAGCCCCAGAATATGCTCAAGGATGCGTGTGAATATCTCCATATCTAATTATTCGCAATCCCATTCCTTCAGCCTCCTCCTCCTGTGTGTTTCCTCTCTTTCTTTGCTATCTTTCTACGCCCCTCGCCCCTCGGGGGGCTTTTCTTGTTCTTTAGTAAATATTTGAGCTTGACAGCAAATCTATCCGTATTTATCGAAGCATACGTGCTCCACTGGCACGAGCTAGCTGCGGTTGAGAGAAGTGAGAGTGTGCAGCGGCGCTCCACTGAGGTGCCGGGGATCTTTGATACTCTCCACCAGTGCAGTTCCCTCTAATTGGAAATTCAGTCTGTGCAGCCGAGCAGAAATCTGCCAGAGTCAGCAGCCCAGCTTTGTTTTCATTAACACACACACACACACACACACACACACACATCCACCTCTGTTACCTTTGAAGGACAGCTCTGGTCTGATCGTGACACGAAATGAAAAAAAGAAAAAGAAACTGAAGTCAGAACCAAACTTGAACGGTATATGTATATATGCATGTGTGTATATGTGTATATATTTTGATTTATATTTATTAGGAATGTCCAATATCAACTTTTTGCCGATGTTATCCAAACGCTTAATTTCCGATTCTGATATCAACCCCGATACCCATATAGTGGGGCAGTGATTGGTTAAAACGGCGTTTCTCGATTATTTTTTGGCCCCCTAGAGGACAGAATTGAAATACTATTGAGCGTCTGGTAATATTTATTTATTTATTTTTACAAACCACTGTTATTGAGCGTCTGGTAATATTTATTTATCTATCTTTACAAACCACTGTTTGTGTTGTGTTCTCGCACCATCATTCTGCATATAATCATTTGATTATCAATATAGATGAATAAAATGAGCTGCAATGCTGCCATCTAGTGACTAGAGGCTTGTTTATCGTTTGTAATGTTCTGTTCGTGTGTTATGAAGGGGTTAACAGTTAAGGCTATGGGAGAGGGAGTGAGGAGGTGTGGTCAGTGAGTGATTGAGGACAAGAGAGTGCAAGAAGAAAGTGAGAGGAGGAAATGGCGTTTTTTTGGAGACGCTAGGTTGAGAGGAATAAAGGAGTTTAGAACGAGTTACTGCAATTTGTGTTTCAAAAAAAATTCTTTAGAGTTCTTTGGTATCTGACTGGTCTGTCGCCGGGGCTTCGCACTATTTTTAGAGCCCACAACATTTGGCGAAACCCAGGCATTATCGGGTTTTTATTATCAGAGGAAAAACCGATAACGATTCTTACTGATATTACAAAATATGCTAATATCGGATCGATAATATGATTCGGCCGATATCATCGGACATCCCTAATATTTTTACATATTTTGCTTTAACAACATTTGGAACAAATTCGTCAGTTTGTCTGTGTATGTGTATATGTAAATATAAATATACAGTACGTGTGCATTTACATATGTAGAGGTAAATGTGCAAATACATTCTCATTGTGTTCTTGTATGTATGAGGCCAACAAGTATATAGATATATTTAATTGTTAGAATTTGTTGTGTTTTTATCATTTGCGCTGCGTGTGTGTGTATAGAGTATGACGTCGAGTGCTTTAAAAAGACAGCATGGAGGATGTTGTTGAGAAAATTAAAAAAAAAATAAATCACAAAAGTTTAAATTGTAATTAAATGTAAATATATCACAGTCAAAGCCTTTCTACAGTCTTATAACCTGGATGCAGTACCTAATGCAAGGCTTCTTGAGCCTTGCAGTGCAATTTTGTACAAGTACAAATGCCAAATACGCTGCAAAAAAAAGCATAAAAAAACACAAATGCCAAATACGCTGCAAAAAAAACATAAAAAAACAAAAACAAAAATTCATACCTGAATGTTTACGGCCTAAAAATGTAATAAATAAACAGCAGAAATATGTTTGTCTTATCTACACAACGAGGTTCAAGTCAAATATTAAACTAAAGTTGAATACATTCATTGCCTATAATTTAGTCAGTATTACTTTTAGTAAAAAATATACTCGTTAATCTTCTTTTCAGTGCCGCTGCTTTGACTTTAATATCACTGTATAAATAAGGACATATGTGTCACGGTGCGTGACCTCAGCACCTAGGACTCTGTAGGTCCTCACTCTGTCTGGGACTTTCCTGCACAGCTGTACATGACAATCAGCGCTGTAATCACTTTGTTTTCTTCTGATGCACCTCCATGTTTAGAGGTTAGGGGTCTCGACTGTTTGATGAGTTAAGTGTCTGCTTCCCCTCTCTTTCTCCTCCGATCACAGCACAATATGAGTCACACTTTCATGCTGTCTGCAGACTGATTGTGGATCCAGTACGTTCCTTTAGTTCTCTAAGAACACACGCCGACTTTTCTGCCCAGGCAAAATCATCTTGCACAAATAAGTAGCTGGGATTTCACAACTTTAAAACCACATATTAAGTTTTGCCTGAGGAGCAACTATTGCAACCGCTGACTTGAGTTAAGTAAACACTTGTCGGGACTTATCTTTTTTTATCATTCTTTTTAATGTTGTTTTGACAGGAAAATTCCATGTTCTTAGTTTTGGCCTCAGGGATGAATTATACTGAACAACAAGTGCATTTATATAAGGTTTTTTTTTTTTTTCTTTTTCAGACAGTCGGTGTCGTCTGGACTTAAAGACTGTAGCAGAAAACTGTATAGTGCTGTGATTCCCAAGTTTTTTGGCTCCTTATGACATCACCAATATGTCACGACTGCAAAGACTTGTTTATTTTATTTGACTTGTGCAGTCACGTTATCAAGATGCGCCGGCTCAGACTTAGATGCTGCATTTCATTTGTACTTAATTTATTTTTATGAAAGTGAGAGAATACAGTGGTTTGAGATCGCGTCTGGTGTTTTTTTTTTTTTTTTTTAAATCATAATTTTACAAAGAATAGTAATTTGTTGAAAAAATATTTTTATCTTTTTTTTTAATTATCATTTACTAGATATTTTAGGCGAACTCTTTTGAATTCCATGCGACCCCATGCGGGGTTGCGACCCCGAGGTTGAAGACACACTGGTATAGGCCATGAAAACGTATCAATAGTTTTTTTTAATTATTAAAAAATAATTAGTAAAACCAATTAATACAATATGCTACATATACGTTTTAGCGAAAATATACTTAAAGGGTGTATTTTTTAACAGTTTTTTGTTAACGTTAAAGTGATCAGGTTTTCCAAATCTCTGATGTGGACCATTATGAAATCAGAGCAAACATGACATTTTTTAAACCTGTTAAAACTATTAAAAAAAACTGAATTAACATTTGAAAGGAACTAGATTCCAGTTCTTGTGACCTGGTCCGAGTGTCGTTCCCCAGAATTCTACAAACGAGGAATATCTGATGGAAACATCACTTTCAAAAGTGTTTAGCGCAGAGGCTTCAAACTCCCGGCCCGGGGACCACTTACAGCCCACGAACTCAAAACATCTGGTCCGTGATTAGATGTCAATAATAATGTTGCCCTTCAGTGATCTTTCTATTAAGCAGTTTAATTGGTCCTTTAAGAATGAAAAAAATATTTACAGGGTATTTAGAGTATTTCTATTTAACAAAAACATGTTTTTAATATCTGGAGACCTTTGATGCAAAGAATTTTCATGAATTACTGGGGTTTTTTTTTCAATTTGTCAAAGAACTTTTTGACATACCCTCATAGTGATGTTGGTTGTCGGGGGTTGCTCGTTCTGAAGTCATAGGAAGTATTTCCATGATCCGGCGAAGGCGAGAAAAAATCCTCCGAAACTTGGGGAAACAAGTTCTCTCGAAAGGTCGTTAAATGTCAAACACGCTGCTGGAAGCAAATACAAACATAAACAAAACACAAAGTTTACCACAGGGCACTTTATGTTGGTCGACACGGTCTAGTTTATTAATTGTAGAGTGGAGTCAAATGTATTTTCCGTGCCTGAGCAGGAACTTGAAGTCTTGTTGATCATCGCCGTGTCTCGAAATCAGTTCAGTTCTCTGGGAATTAGCTTTGATTCATTCGCAGGCCAAACCAGTCACCGAAGGTCATCGGTGGATTCTAGAGGTGATTTTTCTCCATAGTCATGAGTCAGGACAAAAGGCCACATGCAAACAATATACAATCTACAATCAGTCAGTGTCACCTGCTCCCCCGCTGGCCTTTACTCTGTCTTTCTGACAGTCGTCTGGACGGAGGAAAATTAACCACGCGTAGCATGGTCCTCCTCTGTCCATCTGTTACGTTCTGTCCTGATTGACATCTCTGTTTGTACCGAGACGTAAATACAAAACCAACCAGTCGTTCTGGGAAAAGATGCTATTAGATAGAAGAGTTAATAACTGGTATGTATTTGTAGACTTTAACAAAATCATGCCTCCGTTTCTCTTACGCTCGGGCAGTCGACCTGGACCGACTCTACGATGACGTCAAGCGGTACAGCTGCACTCCCCGCAACTACTCCGTCAACCTGCGAGAGGAGCTGAGGACAACCAACACCGTCTTTTTCCCTCGATGTCTGCTGGTCAAACGCTGCGGAGGGAACTGCGGCTGTGGAACCGATAATTGGAACAATGGCTGCACGTGTCAGGCCTCGAAGACGGTGACGAAATTACACGAGGTACGAGCGAAGGATACACACACACGCACGTGCTTGCTTGCTATCACTGTTGTATTGAGCGGCCAAGGGTCAACTGAAAACGTGCTTGCTTGCTATCACTGTTGTATCGAGCGGCCAAGGGTCAACTGAAATGACCGGGATATTACATGTTAGTTAATAATTATTGGGTTTATTAGTGGTTGAACGAGCGATAAATCTTTAGTTTTGCTATTATTTAACGCAATGAACTGCAATATATTCAATCAGCTATTTTTGCGAACTTATTATAAATTTGGTAGATGAACTGAATAAATAAAAAGAAATAGGTGAACCCAGATATATATACATATATATCTATAAATAAATGTACATATATATGTGCATATATATAAGTATATAATATAAATATATATTTATTTAAACATACATGTTCATTAAATGTATATACATATACATACGTTTATAACGTATTTTTTGGACTATATGTCGCTCCGGAGTATAAGTCGCCCATGCGCCCTCTAGTGGCCGTCAGTGTGAAAATAACGATCATGTAAATCTCCAGTGGTACAGGACTAGCAGATACTGGTACACAAGCCTAGAGTGCCCTCTAGCGGCTGTCAGTGAGAAAATAAACAGGTGAAATTATACATTTTAATAAAGGAGTCGCACCAGAGTATAAGACTTGCTTACCTAGCCAAAGGATGAAAGAAAGTGCGACTTATAGTTCTGAAAATACGGTACATATATGTACGTAAACGTACATATATGTACATTTTCACTACATTCCCAGATTACTGGTATGACACAACAGTAGAATATATTCAATTTTTGACTTTTTTGTGAATTTACTTTTGACTCAAACTTCATTGTAGGAACCTCATTGTGAAAGTAAAGCAGCGGTCCCTCCCAAAGCTAAGAAGCTAACATTCAAAATGAGCAGTGACTGGTTGAAGAGGGCTTAAGATTGTGATTGTGCGTGCGTGTGTGTTTGTGTTTGTGTGTCAGTCAGTCAGCGTTGCTGATGCACAGTAAGGCAGGGAGAAGTCGGAGAAATTGGGCGTGCAGTGGCAGGAGCTGCATCAACAATGAAGCAGCAGTGCACAGCTGCCTCTCACACACTCTCACTGCTGCTCCTCTGAAAGTTCTTCTCTGTTGGGCCCGTCGGTCTCTCCACTATCAGTCTCAGTGCACCGGTGGTTTTTTTTTTATCACTCTGCGCACTCTTTACTGCCATTTCCTTTGATTCTTTTTTTTTTTCTTCTTCTTTTTAATGAAATATATTTCTAGGGACAATTGGCCCGTCAGCACTGAATGCGACGGTAGGTTAGGGTTTGAGATTCAGTTTGGAGTTATGATTAGAATTGGGATCAGATTAGAGCAGTACTTCTCAAATAGTGGGGCGGGGCCCCCCTGGGGTAGCACGGTGATGTTGCAGTGGAATATGGCACGCTGGACATAAGTGGTACCACTGCTGTAATGCTTGAAGGATAACAAGCCTCCAGTCACTAGGGGGCAGTAACTCATACAGTGGTTTGTACAGATAAAAATATACACGTTATCAGGTTCTCAATAGTATTTCAATTTGCAGGCGTGTGGGTCGGAGGGGGGGCGTGAAAACATTTCTGTCCCCAAGGGGGCGCATGACAGACAATAATTGAGAACCACTGGATTAGGGTAAGGACTAGGATTAGCCGTATATTTGTCTGACTGCCACAAAATAAGAGTCATATTTTTACATGAGCTGTCTGAAAATTAAATAACTGCAAAATTCGAAATACAACATTTATTAACTTTAATACTCATTAAAAAAATTTAAAAAATTTAAGTGTTGAGAGGTTGCAAATCAGATTGTGATATTTTTCTCTCTCTCTCTTCCATCCTGTATTCTTTGGTCTGGTAACGTCTGCTGGACAATACTTCACTTGCAGGTACTCTGCAAGTGAAGTATTAGTCAATATAAAATCCTAACTCCAGAGCAGTGGTTTGTTATTACAAATTTAAAAAAAATGGCTTTTAAAATTTCTGCTTTCTAAAAAAAAAAAAAAAAAAAAAAATCTATTTATACAATCTAATCTATATTTAATCTCTTCCTCTTTAACTCAATGTCAACTTCTGGTGACAGGTTCAATCCATCACAGTGGGTAGTGTGTGTGTGTGTGTGTTTTACTTCTGTTTATTGATGTAGTTCAGCTGTAGCTGTAAATGATGTCTTTTAAATATGCTTCTCTTTAGGATTTGAAGTGTAAGGTCCTCTGCTACGTTGGAGATATAATTTATACTTTTGTCAATACTGTAGTAGTACAACGTAACAGTTCAAACTCTCCCTCACCTCATTCTTCGTTTTTTTTACGCTTTGCCTCCTCCAGGTGCTCAAGTACGCCCCGGAGGTCGCCGCGCATCGCTACCATCGCAAGCCGCGGGTGCGTTGGGTCATAGACGAGATATTCCTCGTGCACCACGAAACGTGCGAGTGCTCGTGTCCATCTCAGCCTCCCCGCTGAAACACCCCAGAGCTTCAGGGGCATCTGGAACTGTGGGGTTCCTATTTTGCAGAAAAGACTTCCTAATATAACAGCATGGCAGAGACGTTACCAAAAAAAAAAAAGCAGCTCAGAAAGAGTCATCCTAATTTCTGCAAAGACCGACTTCATAAATGGCTTTTCCCAACTCGGACTTTCTTCATAATCAAATAAACACCATATGTTCACTTTACTACTAGGAATTCACTCTGGACAAACATTTGTTTCTCCAAAAATAGACATCCACTTGCATTAAAAGTGCTTAAAGCGCTGCACTCTGTATGCCGACAAAATGATGATTAACAACAGTCGAAATGGAACTACATGTGTGTATTTGTGTCTGCAAGTATGACTGTACTTTAACGCGGCGGTCCCCGACCCCTATTGGCGCCACGGACCGGTGTTTTCTGAATATAATAATACACGTTAAGCCAATAACACACATGCATATGATTCTATGTTAAAAAAATTATGTAAGTTATGCATTTTTTTCTGTGCGACCCGGTACCAATCGATCCCTGGACCAGTGCCGGTCCACGGCCCCGGGGGTTGGGAACCACTGCTTTGATACACAAGCAAAGAGATTGAAGACACTGCAAACCAAATATCACCTTGCACTAGTGGCTCCTAACATTGTCCAGCAGCGCCACCATCCCCCCCCCCCCCCGTCGACAATTCACGGCTTCTGCTTCAATGCTTCACTGAACTGTATTTAAAACATAACAAGAACAACTGTTCTCCTTGATACAAAAAAAAAAAAAACACTGCCAACCAGTGAAGTTTCTTAATGTGACATAAATCAAGAAAAAAAATGAAATGGAAATGAAGTAGCTTGTTGACCCCCCCTGTATTAGTTTGTGCCCCCTGGAAGGACCCGCCCCCCCATTTTGGGAACCACCGCCATCTAAGGAATGGACCTTGCCGCATCACAACTGCAACAGCTCTGTGCCCACTAGGATTCCAGTACTACGTATTGTCCAAAAACTGTAGTAATTTATACGCATTTGTCGTGTTTCGGCTCGTAAAGAGCTCTTTAATTTTGACAACATTCCCAAATTCCGGAATACCTTCCAGATTCATTCACCCATTCCTTTTTGCCTCTCTCCTCCTCACTGACCCCGTCTCTGACGCCCGCACGATCTCCCCCCATCTTTCACCACCCTCACTTTGCAAACGTCCGAGGACCGATCATTTACCTCGATGCAGTTCAACTGCAATAGCTCCGTCCCCCCTGAGGGGGCCCCACCCTCCGCTTTGAGAACCACTGCCTTACAGCTATACAACAAACAGGTCTAATTCAGGCGATATGAACTAAGCTGCACGGCAACACTATGACTCAGGGGTTTCCATCACTCCCAACGGTGCAAAAACTGTCGTCATTTAGTTTCATTTATTTGATGGTTTTTTTTGCCAACATTCCCGCATGGAAACCTGGGAATATTTTCACGCTTCCATTGTCATTCCAGTTTCATTCCCCCCCCCCCCCCCCCCACCCTCCTCCTTCCTCACACTGACTTTGCACACATCCCAGGATATGACTGATCAGGCCGCTGAGCCGAGCCCATTTCTCCGGGAACATTCCAGGCATTCCAGCAACTAACCGGAATTCTGCTCTCACAGATAAAACCGCAAATTTGAGCGGCAGAGATAAAACAGAGGAAAGTTATTCAGAGAGAGAGAGAGAGAGAGAGAAGAAGAAAAAAAAGTGGGGAAGATGAGGGGGGAAGTTCTTTTTTTCTTAGGTTAAAGAATAAGCTGCTTATTTGTCCATCGAATGTTCTTCCCGATCAGGATTTGTTATATACAAAAACGTTGAAAGGTCCACAGAGATGTCAGTCGTTTTGTCAACAGAATAATTGTAAGTCCATCAGTGACTGAGATTTCACCTCCGAACCAAACACAGTGAGCTTCGGCTTGCTGGAAAAAAATTCTGTAAACTTTGCAAAAATAATTTATTGTTTTCTGTTTTTCAGCCTTGTTTTGATAAATAAAAGTATTTCGAGCAAACCCTGTCATCGCCGTGGTTACTCTTACTCTATTACTTACTTTATTTTGAAAATACTAGTCTTTCACTGTTTTTTCGATTTTTTCTCTTTTTTTTTTTATTTAAAATTGTCAAAATATATTCAGGTGAGAGTTGCATCCTCTGAGAGTTGTGAATAATGAACCTAAAGAGGTTGCGGTACCTGAAGAAAAGCCCATAAAAACACAAGGAGAATATACAAAACCAGGTTAGATCATTAGTTGACCCAGGGCTAGAACTGTTGACCTTGTTAAAATGAAGGTCAGCGGTTGACTCTTGAACTAGTAGAGTGATGTGTTTGCGGCACTGAGGAGTTCCTCCGAGGTGTTAGCCGTTTAAATCCACCAACAGAGGATGAAGAAAAACAAGGGAGAAAACTCCTCCGAGGTGTTAGCCGTTTAAATCCGCCAACAGAGGATGAAGAAAAAAAAGGGAGAAAACACCGGAGAAACCAGAAGATAACACAGACTCTGGGGGCCACACGGTGGTGAAGTGGCAAATGCTCTTGCCTTACAGCGACATGATCAAAGGTTTGATCCCCGGTGGTAACTGATGGTCTTGGTTTGAATGCTTTCTCTATGTACACTTTCTCTAAGGACACTTTTAATATCGTACCTTGTGATAAACTATCCAGGTTGAGACGGCGCCCTCGTCTGACAACTGCTGGCCTTCGCGACTCCGACGTAACGTATAGTGAATCGAAAGTGTCGTCTGTCCTGTGGAAATAAAAAGCAATTGAAAACAATGTTAAAACCTGTTTAGATAATGCGTTACAAGCACATCTATGATCTTTAAGATGATGTCTCACAAAGCCAGACTCATTTCCACAGTTCGCTGATGGTGGAAAATGGTCTGATAATAACATTATCATTCTGGTACACCGATCTAAAAAGGCTCCGGGGTGGTTGCCTAATGCATATGGGAAGACAAGCAACGCCAAAACAATGCACCGTCTGAATCACCATCACCATTGAAAGTTGCTATTTTCGGCGTGTTATTAGGCCGCGCTTGTTTTCCTGATGCACAATGAAAATGCCTCCTGAAATAGGAACTGGATGGCAGACTAATATCCGTGGTCTAATTCCAGGAATCAGAGTGAGTCACAAATTGTGGGACAATTAAAGTAAATGAAGTTGCTCGGTGTCTGGTTCTACCTAACGCCGCTCCTGTTTGATGATATGAACCTGCTCAGTTAATGACATTCAGAGTGACCTTTTAAAATGGAGGTTTCTAACTGTTTTTGCTTGTAATCACCAAGAACGGAAGCCTGTTTCCACTTTGTTTGTCTCTGAATTCCAGTGGGCGATGCGCGGTGATGACTAACTTTCACTAACTTTATAAAGATGAATTTTGAGATTTTTTTTTTTTTGCTTTTAGTTTTGCATATTTTTCTTGACATTTTTAACTCCATCAGTTGGATGGCGGTTTCTTACACATCTGCCTTACACACAGAAGGTCCTGGGTTCGAGCCCACGAGAGAAAGCACATATTTAATGGCGCCTCCCGTGAAAGTCTGGGTAGGATGCAAAGACTAACACTGAAGTGTCCCATGTTGGGACGAATAAGGGACTTCAAGATAAACACAAACATCTTCCTGTTGTTATTTGCCTTTTTTGTTGCAGCAATATATGGACGAAAAGTTTTTATTTTCATTTTTAAAAATTGATTTATCTCAATCAATCACGATTAATTCTGATCGTAATTAATTCACTTTTCGAATAATCCCAATTCATTGCAGTTAGTCCTCACCGACCTGTGATGAATCGCAAGAAAAATCACAAAACTATGACCAGTCCAACTCTTCTGATATGATTTTTTTTTTTAAAAAGATGCTCAATATAAGGTGAGAACTTCACACCAGTCCACCTCTCCTTCCAAGAAGACGGCCCTTTTTGAAGCGGGAGCGAGCGAGGTGGAGGAGGGAAGGAGTTACCTTCAGTCAGAATCCAGGGCTGTTGCATGGAGACACACAGACAGATGATGAGTAGGAGGAAGAGAGGAGATTAAGTCATCGAAGCGTGGAAGGGGGGAAAAAAAAAAAAGAAGTGGTGAGAATGTGACGCATAACTGAGAAACGATGTAGCGAAGACAGCGCTGCTTCCCCGCACCAGCCTCTGAAGTGACAGGCAGCAGCCGTGACTGGGAGGACAGGTCTCCATTTGTCCACATCCACAGGAAAAACAGGAGGGGACATCTTCACGGCACTTCACTTTCTCCCTGTGCTCACTTTGACTTGCCTTCACACATTGCACCTCCGCTCCTCCGCTCCTCCTGACCTCCCGTCCCAAAGTGCCATCTTCTCCCTCGTTCACACTACATTATAGAACAACGTTCATTTAGGTATGAATATTAGATCTTTCTGGTGAATAATGGACGACGTCTGTATGTGAGGAAACTGCCGACACAAGAAGGAAAAACGGACGCAGGCACTTGTACATTCCCTCGCGCTTTTTCAGCCCCCCAAAAAAAAAACGTCTTTCTCACTTCCACGCTGTTTCTTCAGATAAATTATTAACTTTAGGAGCGAGTCAAGACGAAATGTGTGTATCTCTGCCGTCTCTGCCGAACTGATATTCCGTGGCGCTGCCGGTCCGCAGCGACAGGCCGCGGTGTACTGCCGCTGACATTGTATTACAGCTGTATTTTATTTTTGTCAGTACAAACAACTTCTTCTGAGATGGGGTACTTTATTGACCTTTGTTATTGCATTTCATGGCTCCGGGATATACTGATATATTGTATAAATGACTAGTGGAGGTATATGGGCGTCCCTCGTGTGACATCTAAGAGATGGAAGACATGGGGGGAGGAGAGGAGAGGAGAGGGGAGATTGAGAATTTTTTTGTCTGACTTTTTTTTTTTTTTTTTTTCCCAAAATAGCAGGTTTGGCGAATTAGTTGGCCGTAGTGCTGTGCTAAAGGAAAAGTTGC